GGAATTTGGTATTGATCGGATTTCATGTTATTGTATCAGTGCTATTATATCCCTAATTTTTCCGTTACACAATGGATCTTGTAAAGGGGCCCACCTCAGAAACGAACTTTGTTATCTCTCATCTGATTTCAATCAAAATTTCAGAGAATGTTAGTCTTGACTAGAATAGCTTATGGTGAAAATATCGCCCCCCAATTTAAAAAAAATGCACAAATTTTAGTCAATTGAGGGTGTGGGTGTTTTCTTCTTTACACCCACACCCACCCCAACTTTCACACCCCAGCCAGTTAATTCTCAGCAGCTGACGATGGTAGACATTAAGAGAAGTGCTTCAACTATGGACCTACTCAACTGAAAATAATCGTTTAAAATTGATTCAACGACTTATTTCAGCTTTTAGTCGCGCATGAAGGGCGTTTACAAGCACTAATAAAATCGAACTGTTCCTGATTAACATAATGTCAGAGCACATAGGCATCTGAAATGTTCAACCATTGCTCGTCTTAAATCAGATTTGATGTGATGATCTGGAAGAGTAATTAAAGATGACTGTTCCAAGTTGAATAACTGAAAAAGGTAAGGCTATTTTAGTGATGACGAAAGTAGGGCCATCCCAAAGTAATAACTGGCATAAAACGAAACAATCCCCGGATGTGCAAATCGGCAAGCACCTAATCCCTACTCTCCAGGTCTTGGATGAAAGACGCATTTTCTATTACTTTTCTGCCTTTCAAGACTGACCATGGAATTCAATGAACAAAATACAAATGCCCCAGTCGATTTTTATGATATATAGAACAAAATTGCATCTGTAATTATACATTTTATACGCGGCAGAGGTTGTCCAGCCTCTCAGAAAAGTGGAATTTAGATAATAGAACAAAGATACCGCTACACAAGAGCCTGAAATCAAACTTCAACGAGAAAACTCTGATTATTTTCGAGTCTATACCACCTATAAATGTTCTCAAGCCATTCAAATTAGAGAATATAATGAGTTCACGGGCATAAATCTAGCTCATGCTAGCTCTTTTCCTTTGGTTCAAACCGAATCAAATCCCAACCAAACAAACTTCGGTACTCTCGGACTCTGCCCTTCACTACTATGACCAAGACAATTATAGCAATTGAATAATCATCTACCATATACATTCTGTAAACAGTGCTGAACAATAGAGCTCGAACCGAGGGTGTCGCTGTGGATGGATATTTTCTTTTTATCCACATCTACACTCACACCTTACTATGGATTTAGTCCTTTTTTCCCTCATGTAATTAGTTTTTCTCTATGGCAAGATATACATGATTCTCGAGTAACGCATTGTCTCTTGAACGATAGATTGATATATTAAAAATGAAAGTGTGATCTTTTGTATAACCTTCGATATGCCTCGCACTGTTTTTCAAAATCGTATATTTAACTTGAATTATTTCAGGATAGAGGTGTCAGCTAGGGGTGCAATAGTTCAGCTCTAGTTCTGAGCGTGGGAGCTGTTCGAAAGTTCATTTCGGTATGAGCTGATTGTTTTGAACAGCTCCTCTCAAAAGAGCTGATCTGATCGAACAGCTCTCGTTCCTGAACTGGAGTTTTTCAACAGCTCCTTTCAAAAGAGCTGATCTGATCGAACAGCTCCCATTCCTGAACTGGAGTTTTTCAAGAGTTCCTTTGAAAAGAGATGATCTGATCGAACANGCTGTTCGATCAGATCAGCTCTTTCTGAACGAGCTGTTCAAATCAATCAGCTCCTACCGAAAGAACGTTCGAACAGCTTTTTCGCTCAGCTCAGCTGAACTTTTGAGCTGGAGCTGATGCACCCCTAGTGTCAGCCGAAGGGTTGAACAGCGGCGGCGGGCCACAATTTTCAATTTTTAAAGATTTCCAGCGGCTCGTTATTTGAATGAGTAATGTCTTCAGCGGCGACTGCCACAAATTCTTAAATTTTTTTTCCACAGTGGCGGCGCCGGCTGATATTTACAAGTCCTTATGTGACGACGGTGGCGGAGTTAAAAATTCACTGATGAAAATTAAAAGGAAATGTTCGATTCGATCGCATATGTATGGATATCAGCGGCAGCGAATGACGCTATCAAAATTTTTTATCTCTTGCAGCAACGCAACGGCTAAATTTTTTTTTCGCAGCGGCGGCTCCCCAAAATTTCTTAAAACTACCAGCAATTTCGTGGCTGCGGCGACTGATATTATAGAAAAATCGGTTGCTGCGGCGGCTCAGCCGCACGGCTGACACCTCTATTTCGGGATACTTTCAAAACTCACCAATGCCTTTTTCAAATTTTTGACTAAACACACCGAAGATCTTTGTTTCGAGTATTTACCTTCGCCTGGTCCCAGCTACACAATAATAGACTTGTCGTTAAATGAAAAATTGACTGTGCAAATACTGCTGTTTCATCAGTAGAAATACTAATCTATTCTCTTTCTTTCTCTCTCTCTCTCGTTCGTTGTTTACAAAGAGAATTTTACCTTTGTTGATAGAGAAAGCTACAATGACGGCAGCAGAATAGAATAAATCTTTTTTTTATCGTTTGGTTACTCAATCAAGAAAAATCTTTTTCGAGAAGAATCGTTTGAATTTATTTTATTTGCGTTAGTCGGCTTTTTTGAGTAACTTGACCTCATCATCCTTGTTTATTAATCTTTTTCAAAACTTTTTAACTAAATTAATCAATGTTAAAAACTCTGCAATATATATATATATATATATATATATTCTGTGTAAAACTTTTCGATTGACTACTCATGTTACCACACAAATGGTATGTCTCCAAGGAACTTTTCGATTAGTAGAATAGAAAGAATCTAACTATAGAAGCGTGTAACATCGAAAGAACTATCAAAGTCATTAGATAAAACTCGGCGAAGAAATCTTTTAAATGAGAATTGGCCGATTAGAATGTGAGGACACAAATGAAAAATCAGAATCAAATTCACTTTTGCTTTCTAACGAACTATTTTATGTAAGTGTATGCGTCTTTCAAATAATTCATAATATTTGTGCACAGTATTCTTTATTTGTTTTCAATGGCGACCACACAGAGCTGGTTCGCCGACATTTGATTTATTTCATGTCAAAGCGTGCTCTTCATAGGTTCGACTGGTATATTATGCCAACAATGTCGTTTATAAATGCATTACAAATTCGATTCAAATATTAGCTCACAGGTGGAACTTATCATCGAACGATGTGACATCTCTTCCTGCATAGATAAACATAATTTTAATTGAAACATTCAAAGTAGATGAATTTGTGATCTTATGAGACCCTGTCTTTTTATCGAAATAGACTCTTTTTGAAGAAAAAATTCGTCAAGTTTAATTGATTGCTTTTCTACTTCGATTCAATATGTTTGTGAAAGTTAATTGCATTTTCTCTTCGAGTTCACAAGAACTCTATAGGTTTTTAATTCCTTCGCTAAATGTAACGCATTGTATAGAAATCAGACGATGTTCGTGGCTACCAATACAGAAAATACACAGAAGACAGAATTCAACAATATTTAACTACCTTGTCTAATCCATACGATTAGACAATTTTGCTTAACTTTGTGTGCTTCTGGTAGTATGCTTTTTTTGTTGAACACAAGATTGTCTGGCAGTTCGGAACCCTTATTCGAAATAATCAGAGTATTTTGATCCTAGTCGCACTGATCAACAATAAAAGGCGAATCATTCCAAAGATTTGGCTGACAAAATTAGTTGTTTCTCTTCTGTATCTTGAATTCAATAGAACGAGCTACGACTGATGTTTGAAAATTTTTGTTTACTCGATGCATACACTGGTTAGAAAAATAATACCCTAAAAGTTACTCGCCATCACAAGATTTTGATTACTAAATGTTTTTATTTGATTAATGTTCCGTCGCAAGGAAGCTTTAGAAATTGTTTATTTTTACCTCTATTTCAATAATGGGTTGTTTTCTCCTTGATCAATGTTCCTATGCGAGAAAGCTTTAAAAGTTGCTTATCATTATCTCCATTCAGTTAATGGGTTTTTCTCTTCGATCAACATTGCAGTGTGTAGCTGCGAGAATAGTTATATTGATTCGTGGGTAAAAAGTTGAGTAATATCAGCAAAGCTTTTACAGCAGCTTAAATAAATAAAAGGACAAATGTTTCTAGTTTTTCATAATTTTTCATAATTTTATGACGCTTCGAAAAATTTATTATCATTATCAAGTAAAGGTACATGGCAAGTAATCCTAGAATTGAACAAAATATAACTTATGGAATAGGATACGACTCGGATGTGGGTGTTGATGTGACTGAGCGTGACGCCGTGGATGAAAAGAAAATACACACCCACACTCACACCCTTTTGAAGGGTTAGTAGAGAGTTTATGAAATCAAGAAACCCTATCCTAAACCCTTTGGAGGAGCTTAGGAATGTTTCAAGTACGGTAAAAAGGGTTTGTGGTACGTTGCACTTTAATAAACCCTTTTAGGGTTTATTATTCTACTTTTTTTTACAGTGTAGTTATGGTTAGGATCATGACTTTCAAAAAGGTCAATAGGAAGGTGGTCCACGTATATACATCTAGGACTCGTATCACATGTTTGTAATTTTATTCTTACAGAATCGTAACTATGTGAATGTATCACAAATAGCTCTCAGTAATGATGCAAAGGTGTCTGAAAATATAACAAAATAGATCTAGACATCAATATTAAATGTACTTCTTTCGAAGTCAATGATAATAGTAGTCATTTCTTTTTGGCTGTAATCGAAAGAGAACTCCTTACACTGAAATAATTCTATTGTTATTGATTAGAATTCTAGGAGTTGTTTAATGATCTAAACTTTTTGTTTTTTATATAAAATTTTATGTTTCATATAACAATGTAGTCTTGGGATTCTAGAGATGCCTGATGAGATCCTTAAGCAAGATCGAAACGTCGTATTCTGTTTTGAATCTTTCAAATTTTTGAGTGTTTAACACAACCCACACCCTACAAATACAGCATTCAGAGCGATGCGTTTTCATTATTCTTTCAATATCCATGTCAAATACGTTTTCGCCAGCATGGTTTGAGAAAATTCTTTCTTGTAGCTAGTTGATGGTAGGACGAAGAGTGTAAAACCGAGAATTTGCGGAGCAAACGATAGTAAATAAGCAACGAGTAATATATGACGTTGCAAATCAGTGAATGAACTGCATGCAAAACTAAATGTCAGAATAAGCTGAGGCAATGCAGAGAGAATGATGATTATTGGTGTAACGTAGAGCTCTTTTTGATTATGAAACTGCCTATTTAACATTTGACGAAAGTTCATCTTTTGTTGACCTGTTTTCATTCGACTACGTGTCACTAGAGCGATAAGCGTGGTTACCGAAATTATTTGAACGAAAAAAGGAACAAAATAATGAATCAATGTAGAAACACGATTGTAGATCGATATTTGAAGAGTATCGAAATTCGTTACACACATCGACGAAGCAGTTGGTAGATACTGTATGATTGTGTAGTGAATAATTTCATGGAGATGCATTCCTAGCATAACAATGAATGTACTGATACTAATGCCAATGGCTAAATAAGGATTTTTCAGCGAGATCGATGTTGGATAGAGTAGTATGAGAAGACGATCAATACTAACACAACTAGTCAACCAGTATGTTGATCGTGAGAATACTGAAAGTAAATAAGAAGTCGTTCGACATGAGTACAGTTCTACCATACGAAGTGCTATCGGAAAAAATTTCAACAGCAGACACAGTAAGGTCATTTGATTGAAACATGTTATGATGAAAAGATAGTTTCCAGTGCCGACCTTTCGAGGTGATGGACGTTTGAAAGTCACAAATGAGCAGACATTGTTGAATAGGCCAACAAGAAAAATTAGGGAAGCTATCACAAGATAAACAGTTTGTACTTGTCTGGAACTGTTAATGAGAAGTGAATCCAAAGTAAATCCAAATGCATGTAAACTAGACTCACAACGATGTCCTTGGTAACATGATGAGCAGAGACAGATAAAATCATTTGCTGTCGTTAAATCGCCTCGAACGCATCTACCTCCAGACAAACATTGATAACAAGCATCGGCATCGTATGGAAAAAGGAAACAGTGTGCACGATAGTGGTCGGATTCGCAAACACAGAAATAATCTTGATCATGAAAACAAGTCAGATCAGTGTTATTTTGACATATATGATGATATTTGAATAGATCAGGAATCGATGGATAGGTGTCTCCGAATGGACTACGAGATAAATATGATGATGCAACTGGACAATATATTGGTGATGAAGTAATATTGATCGATGATTGTTGTAAAGAATATATGAGAAAATATTTTACTGTTAAAGATTGATCATAGATCTTCAGTAATCCGATAGAAGGAGCGACTCTTTCAGGATGATTATAGATCATTGTGGATGGGAAGCCATGGTAGACATGCTGATGTTCGATTGTGAATTTTAAGCCTTTATTCATAACATTGTATAGTTGAATAACAGATGGATGAGCTAAAGAAATATTGGTAACATTAAAACGAATATGAACTGATGATGGCGACTTTTCACATTGATTTCCATGAAATCCTCTTTGGCAAGTACATACGAATGATGTTTCTCCGCTCGGGTCATAAATAGAATGGCAACGTCCACCATTCAAACATGATTCTGAATTACAACCGCTGTATTTCAGGTTGCAGCGTGGGCCAAAATGGTCAAGTGGACAAATACAATTTTGTTTACTATTTTGAGTCACTTGACAAAGTGCTTTTGGTGAACAGTAACTTTCACATTGTGGTACATACAACTCACACTCCTTTCCATAGTAGCCACTCTTACATGAACAGTAGTATGAATCGTCCTGATTGAAAATAGGTAGGCATGTTGAGTTTTGATTGCATTTGTACCGAGGACATGAATTCATTGTTCCATTCCTGAATGATGATGGAAATCGTAGGACAACAGCTAGACGATGTGATGGCAGATAGTCAAAATAAATCGGATGATGCGATGAACCTATTTCTTTAACATTCTTATTCGCTTCCAAAGTGAAAAAATCAAAATGAACAGAATATGGATGACTGTTGATAATATCAGTTCGGTTAAAGTAACGATTTTGCTTCTGAACAAGCATATCAGTATCACGTGAATACGATAGATAGAATCTATGTTTGATCTTCTTCATCTGTTCAATCGCTGGAACAACGATGAACTGATGATGATCGATGATTTGATCATTGTAGAAAAAATTGGCCTTGATCGTCAGTGTTACATTGGTGTATGTTCTAGGTAATGATATTTGATCCAGTTGTGCAATAACACTAATTCGATCATTAAAGAATTCACACCAGCGACCGTAGTAAGCAGGTGAACAGAGGCACTTTGTTTCATCAATTTCAACAATAGCTACACCTCGATTACATTGATAAGAGCGAGTAACAGATGATTTATCATCGTCTCCATTATCGATTGGGCTTGTTTGGCTTGAATGATGGAATTCTAGCTTCTCCGATGGTGGATATGAAACGCTTATACCATACATGATTTTGTAAGATAATTTCTTATCCACACGATAATACATTTGGTTCTGAAAGGAACCAGAAGGGCACCAATATTCATCTTCACCATAAGTACAATCAAATGCCCCATCACATCGTGCATCTTTCTTGCACTGGCTATCTTCCAAGCAGAGAAAGTCTTTCTCGGCAGAACATAATCCATCTTTATCTCGGAATCTTGAACAGAGAACAACGCTGCAATTCAGCTTTGGATCGTTGTGGCAAGCAACTGTGTGAATTCTACTAGAATTCCCACACTGAGCGCGAAAACCCCACATTTCTCCTGGATGTGATTCTACTGTGAATGTGTTCTTTTCGTCATAGGCATTATAACAGTCTACCATTCCATCACCAATCTGACTTAGATTGATACATGGATGATATGAGCTGATGTTCAATGGATTCCATTCTCCAAGGCGATAACAACCTAGTTCGAACGAAGTGTTACACTTGTCTGAAAAAGGTGTTCGTTTATATCGACTTGAGCATTCTTTCAATCGAGACAGTAAATTTCTCAGATGCTTGTTATGATCTGACCATTGTGTGATGAGTACGATAGCTTCTTCATCAGATGCATCAGAACAATCCCATTCACCATCACATACCCATTCCAATGGAATACACTGTCCTGTCTGACATTGATATTCTTCTTTTGGACATATCCACTGGCGACATGCAGTAGAATCTTCATCCATGTGTTGAGGTAAGTCCCAGAAACTATCACAATATCGATAATAAGCAAGACTTTTTATGGTATTTTGTTGTTGCTGTTGTTGTTCAATATCAGTCAATGAGGGGTTGTATGTTTGATTAGTGTTTGATGATTGTTGGACGTATGCTTTGACATGATGACACCCACCCGTTTGATCTTGAAAACATGGAAATTGATTACTAAGAACAGTCCCTGCTCCCAACCATTTTTCATCATATTCATTAGAGCATTCTACCATGCCTGATCCCAATTCCGTCACTGGGAGACATTTATGTTCATGATTGAAACATTGAAAACGTTGCTGCCCTACCCTTCCAGTACAATAACTGCTTTCTACAGTTTCAACTTCATCAAGACTATTCAAGCAATCATCGGTTCCGTCACGAATTCGATACTGTGATATACATTCTCTACCAACAGCATCACACATGTCAGGATTGACGGCATATAGGCGTCCATTGAATGTCAACGATTCGTTCCAACAGAACGCATCATATTGATGAGGTGAATGGAAATCCTGATAACCATACATGATCCATTCTTTCTTACAGAATAACTCAGCAATCCGAGCGTTCTTCACTAAGGCTGTCTGCATGACTATCGACCGGGCATCATGAATTAGAAATAGGTAACCTCGACATTTGATGTTTCCAAGAGCCCCAGCAAACTGAAATTTGGGATTTTCTAATGAATGAGTGAAGTTGTGGAGAGCGAAAAAGTTCGAATTAATCAATCCTTTTGAAGGATATAGTACGAGACGATCAGCCCGTGGACACACGCTGATCATGATCTGCGAACAATTCAAATGATTGCATGGGCAATCACTTTCGAATCCTTTTGACCAACCACATCGAAACAGATATTCACATTTTCTATCATCAGTCAGATTTGATGAATTGATAAGATGCCATGGTGGATATCGTGGATCATCGTAACCACGATCTGGATTACAAAGACCATCTTCTTGTGTCCAGGCAGATTTATTTACGCTTGCTTCACACATGTAGTTTAGGTTCCGTTTATTGAAGCAATCGTCTAATGGTGCTACCAATCGTTGAATTGCCATTCGAGCGAGCCACCGCACACACTCACCGTCCCCGCATGAATACCCAAGATTCTGACACAGATGCTCGTCGCATTTCATAGCTGTCGGTTCGAAAGGACATGATTCACCATTTCCATCAAAATATTCATCACTCCAATCCATACAATCGATATCACCTACAAAAATTTCATGCGAAAGATAAGTTACAAATGTTTAGAAAAAATATTACCATCAAGCCAAAACTCTTCTGCAATACACATACCATTTGTACATCGAAATTCATCATCTTCGCATTCGTTAAATTCTAGCTTGTCACAATTTTCTTCATCCGTACCATTTTCACACTTTTGCACACCATCACAGATCTCTCGCCAATCAAGACACATAGGACTCGATGGGCATCGCAGTGTTTCATAGCAGAGAATCTTTCCGTATCGTTGTGTATTCCATGAGTCCCCGTGTTTCTTTTGTTGGAACTGATCTCTGACTGATTGACTGAATGTTGATCGATAATGTGTTAGCTGATATTCGCAATATTTGCCAAAAGTTCCTATTCGTGTACAGTTGCATACAAATGGATCATTGTAGTTATACAGCAGTGATCGATTGTAGAAGATGGTAGCATAGAGATCAGCCATTTCAATGATCCAACTCCATTTGAGTGCTCGGTCCGGATGGATCTGTTGATCGATGAGATTATGAAAGGAGATACGTTGGCCTTCATTGTAGCATTGAGTTTGGTTTTGAGTTAGTGACCGATTTCTGTATGGACGTTGACAGTACGGAATAATATCACCAGTATCATTATCTTGATAGTAGAGACAATCGAATTTCTCAGTAGATTGTTGATTTTCTGTATTGTACAGCCAAATTTGTGCCTGTGTAATAGTAATGATGAAAGAAATCACAGCAACGTAGATTGCCATTTTTCAACTATTACAATGAAATCAATATCATGTTAACTAAATATATTATGAAAAGACTCGATAGTCACATTCAAGTAATATTGATATTTGATAAAACACGTACGCAGCTCAAATAGTGTCGAATTGATAAATACTCACCTGTATCATGTTCTAACCTTGATTCTATATAGATCAGCCAAATGTTTCATTATAGGATGTGGGTGTGATTTTTCTCTTCATTCGGGCCCACACTTACGCTTGCTTGTTCACCAAAAACGTACTCAAAAAACGCAAAGCAGAGAGGGAGCGGGGCGGCGGGGCCTGAGTGGGTACTAGAGGGTGTGGGTGTTTTCTTCTTTACACCCATACCCACACCTCAGACGCAGACCTCACATCCACACGCACACCAGTACCCACCCATCAAAATGTTAATCCTATTATATATGTTACAGTTGACATGAGAATTTAGTTGAGATTGGAATAATAGATTTAATTAAAGATAGAGAAAATAGACACAAAAGAGAGCGGAGAAAAAAAAAGAAAACAATTTCGAAAATCAAAATGCAAATAAAATTATATGAACGATATGGAATTTTTTTCTATGAGTTAGATTTAGCAAACTATTTTCTAATTGGTCGTAATTTAGGTTTCTTTTTTAAATTGGTGACCAAAACAAAAAAAAATTATTTCTTATTTTTCATTTATTTCAACGCACTCTCATCTCGCTTGTATGAGTCATACAGCAATTAATGTATCTTGTTGATCTGATACTTTAATATTAAAAGGAAATAAAATACTTCGTTGATTATGACAATAATGTTACATCATTAAATAAATACTTATTTATCCGAGTTTTACACTTCAAAAATTTAGTAGAATCTATTAATATCTAACTTTTTTGTCATCATTTCTTTATTAATTTAAGTTTTTATAATTGATAATCGTCACTATGAAACAGACAACGATTAGACATAAATTACGAAGTTTCTTTTATATTAGCTTATTTATTTTTCTAACGAAGAACGATTGTAGACAATAACACATCAAATGGACTACTCATATAAGAAACTTCTTTATTAATTTCATTAAGAATTTAAAAAAAAATATTTACTTTTCTTTCATATCATTCGATATAAAAACTCATTCCACTTCCATCCCACCTGCTCGAGACCCTTACTTCGGAATAACGATAACGAAACTCTCCTTCTGTCTTTTCTTCGAATATGCAAAGAAAAAAAAATCAATGTCCCTATGTTCCAATGTCCCGAGCGTTGAAATAAACATCTTTTCAGAATCTTTGTCATTTTTCTCTCTTCGATCATGAAAGATAGAGAAAATTAATCTTGGAAACAAAAACGTGTTTTTTGAATCTACATAGTCAATCAAACTATCTCATATCACTCACTAATAACATTTTATTTCTATGAATCACTCTTGTTACAGAGAGGTCACCAGTCAACATTACATTGTTATCTGCTGCTCTCTGTCCTTCTCGTTATTCGTATCTATATGGAGGGATGTTCTCCTATTTTTTGGAGAGATTTATATGGTTAATTTTGGTATAAGAAGAATAAAAACGATTGTGCGTAAGCACCAAAAATTATATTGATTGATATAGAGAGAAGGAGGGAAACGCTCACATATCCCCTTTATATGCCATTAGTATGGAAACTTCTAGAACTTTCTTGACTGTTCTATGAAATTTTCAAAAACAACGCAAAAACTTTCTTGCCAACCCAATATTTTACATATTTGTTCAGGATTGGAATTCTCACATCATAATTGATGCAGTGAGCACAATATGATCATTATGAGATACCAGATTTAAAAGAAGAAATATCCAAATAAGTTTTCACTATCAAATCTCACATATTTTCTTGCTTACCATCAAAAATAATATGCGGTTCAGAATTATTTATTCAAATATGAAAAAAACAATAAGAAAACAATACGCATTTTCAATACGGTCTTTCAACTATGCAACTTGTCGAGCTGCTTTTTCATCTATGTTGTCTAGTTTTCAAATAACAACCAGATGTTCGCTGATGCTGATGTACTACTTCTAAATTCATCGATGACACTTCATAACTGATACTATATCCGTATCACTCTACATTAGAGATTTTGTAAGGCGATTTTCTAAATATTTAAATACTACCCAGGTGACCAAAAGACTAGTAAAAAGACTAATCTTTTTTCTAGACAAGTCGGCCGTCCAGTCTAGTCTTTTTCTCAAAATGTCCTAGTACAGGACTAGTCTGAAATCTCGTATAGTCCATAGTGCCCGTCTGGACTATGAAAGTGACTGGAGTCATTCTATTTGTCATGCGTAGTCTTTTTCGAAAAAAGTCTAGACATGCTGTACCATCCTGACGCCCGTCAAAAATATGATTCTAAATAAAAGTAAGAGCGTCTATGACGCTTTACATGACGAGTTGTGGTCTTATATAATGACGAGATCCTGACCAGTCTAAACTGAAATATTTTATGACTACAACTAGATTCGAACACACATACCAACTATTACTTACCCATCGTTCAGACCATTGAGCCATTTGATCGAGAGATCAATTTATCAGTATTACTAGTCATTCTAAGATGTTTTAAAATACGAATTTTTTCTAAGTTTTATTCAATTTTTCATATGAATAAAAAATATTTTTTTATAAATTCCAAAATTATTCAGATGAAATTGAATAAAATAAATTGAAAACTGTGGTTATTTTATCTCATGTTTTAGTCATTAATTTAGCAATTCACCAGGACAATTTATTCAACAATTTTTTTCCTTCTAATATTCATTTAGATAATTCAGAATTCGGACTGACGATGTACTTAAAAAATAGAATAATCTTTACGAACATACAACGGTTTATATCAGCCTAGGAGCAGTCCTTCTAGCTACCATTAAAGGCATTTTCGGGTAGTGAGAATCAGTTTCCATCAAGTGATTTCTGCACGCATAGTATATGGAAGACGCCCATTTGCATTTTAGAATATATACATAGACATAAGGCTTACTGTATTACGGACTGCCGTCAAGACGCCAGTCTGATTTTTAATAGTATTATAAGTGTCTCTAATGTTGTAACCTAACTTTCTTCTCCCTTTTTTACAATATTTTTCCCTTCTATGTGCTAGTCCAGGTGGGAGTAAATGAATAAACAGACCAGTCTAGACGGGTAAAAGGACAAACGGACTAGTCAGAACGATGCTCTGGGATAGCTTGGACCAGTCCAGACGGGTAAAAGGACAAACGGACTAGTCACAATAGATATGGAAGACGTATTAGACTAGACTTGACGGATATAGCAGACTTTTTGGACTAGTCATGTCGCCAGTCCTCCCTATTTTTTTGCTCACTTGGGGAAGCGTATGTTATAGCAAAGCGTTTCTAATTCTCTTTGACGAAACCTATGTTATCTATATTGTTGAATGTTCTTTCTATTATGATTTACTTTGTTGTCGTTTCTCTTTAGTTTTTTTTATAACAAAGTATACGACTGATATATATCTGGATATTCAATGGATGTTTTTATTCCAGTTGTTGCATACTGCGTTTTGAGCCTCTCTTGTGCTGATTCATTAACAACTTTCGTGCCTCTGAACGAGTCAATTAATACAGCTTAGTATATAAGAAGTTCAACAATAATTGATTATTTGAATTAATTTTTGGTTTATTCTTTTTTGTAAAAAATGAAAGATCAAGAATTACCATCAGAATCGACATCACGTCCAATTTTTCGCCAAAATCTCAATATAACAACTAGTTCAGCAAATATGCACACTCGAAATAGTTCTTCTTCAAAAGATCTTAATAAAATCGTTAAACTAACTTCAACAACAACAAAAAGAAATAATCCAAAAACAAAAAAAAACAATTTGGTTCACGAAAGAAAAGAACATATATTCAATCAACACCGAAATCTAAAATACCAACAACAATCTTTGACAATTATAGTAATTAGTACTCATGACGATATGATTGGTGATCATGGTTCAACACCAGTACAAAAATCACGTTCAAATAATTCTTCTACATGTCAAATTAACATCAATGTAGAAGAAAATTTAATTCATCTTGATGATCCTCTGGNTTTCTGATGGCTCTTTCTGATGTTGAAAGAGCTAGACGTTATCTAGAGAAAAAAAAGACAGAAGAATTGAGCCAGGTGATTAAAGTAAAAGATCGTGCACGTAAAAAGCTGACACGTTCGAAAATGTCATCGTCGCAATTAAAGCAATTGCAGTTACGAAAAAAACTCAATCTTCGTAATTTTCGTGAAAAAGGAAAGCGAATCGAACTCAAACATCACCATCTCAATCATCTTTTCCAACAAAGCAAGCCAAGGGAAAGGCGCTAAAAACGTTACGAAAGTACTACCAATAAATAATGAAAAAAATTGAATTAATACAATAAATCGCCGCAGATTTGAAGATCTTGACAATAGATAATAAATATGCGCGCGTTCAACAATCTTTATCAACAGACAGAAAGCAGAAAATTTATGATTATTATTGTCGTGATGATATTAGCTATCAAGCTCCTGGCAAACGAGATGTCATAGCTGTTAAAGAAAATGGCATTAAAAAAACATTACAGAAACGTTATTTACTTTATTCTTTACGTGGAGTACATCAACTTTTTCTTGAAGAAAATCCAAATATTAATGTCGGTCAATCTATGTTTCAAGATTTGCGACCACCTAATGTTTTATATAAATCATCAACACCACATAATACCTGTGTTTGTTTATACCACGAAAATATAGATCTTCTTTTAAAGTCGCTAAAAGATCACGTACATAATTTCAATTCAATTAATTTACATTCATTTATCAAATTACTCGTGTGTGATGAAAACAGGGAGTTATGTATGTTTAGCAATTGTGAGATGCAAGAATGCAAATGACTTTTTCAATTTGGTTAAAAAAAAAAAGACTTTAATTATCATCGAAGAATTATTGCTTAGTGATATTCAACATGCGCGTAAAAATCTTGAATCATTATTCAACAATGTTAAAGCTGTACCTGATATTCAAAAAATACATTCGATGGTTGCCTTAGATGTAAACCAAATTGAATGCAAAGTTCATTCCAACAGTATAAAAAAAACATTAGTAAATTTCTAGTGGATTTCTTTTAATTATTTGTTTTTGTTCGCGTGAAATACTGATTGAAACTATTGTGTGGTTTTCTTTGTGACAGTAAAACTGAACAAGCTGAACAAAAGAAAAATATTTTTTTAGTTTTATAAATTAGAAGAAGATGAATTCTTAACGTAATTGTTTGAAATTTCATCCTCGGAAACCTTCCCCATGTATACGTCAAAAAAGGATGAAACTCCGTAACAAAGTGAAATTCCGTAACGAGTGATATTTTAAAATTTTTATTCGATGAAGCTAGTTCGATAAGAAATGACGTAATATTCTAATAGCTTGTTAAAAGCTGAACAATTTTTGTATGCAGGGTTTTTTGTGCTGCTTTATTCCGTAGAAAAACATTTAATTCTGAACTAGTCCCAAAAAAGAATTCCATTTTTTAAAATTCCGTAACGCTCAATATTCATTTAATAACTTTTTTTTGGTTGGGAAAAAATTATTCATAT